TGTGCTTTCCAGCCCAGGAGAGAGTCCTCTAGGCAGGAGGCCTTCCTCTTCGGCTGGTCTGCCAGGGCCTCGCCTTTCCTTTCATGTGGCCAGAGCTGTGCTGTCCAATGCTGTAGCCACTAGCCACGTGTGACCATTAAGCAATTGAGTGTGGCTGGTCCAAATTGAGATTGCTGTAAGTATAAACTACATATTTGATTTGGAAAATTTAGTTTAAAAACTCCAAAATACATTACATTTTTAATTACATTTTTTACATTCCTTAGATGTTAAATGGTGATATTTTGGATATACTGTATTAAATATATTTTGAAATGAATTTTGTTCAACAATTCTTACTTTTTCTAGACATAGCAAGTTGAAAGTTTTAAGGTGGTGGTGGGAAGATGCTGAGGGGAAAGGAGGTGCGGGCAGGGTGAGAACACAGGGTCCTGGTGAGGCACAGGGAGGAAGGGGCTCCCGAGGGGTCCTCTCTCCTCAGAGGTCCCTGTCTGCTCTCTTCGTCCTCTCCTTCCATCTCTTCTCTCCCCAGGCTTTCCTCCACTCTGTAGAATGAAGGCGTTTCATGCCATCTCTGGTCAAACTAGTGAAAACATTTTCTTCTTTTTAGATAATGAAGTCTAGGTAGAACACTTGGTTCACCTATCACCAGTGATGGAGTGGCCAAAATGCAGCAAGGTCACCTTCCACAGGAGATCACAGTCACCAGGTCCACTACCTCTGCCTGGAAGAGAGTCAGAGAGGAGGAAGCCAGAGAGACAATGAGAGGGGCAGCAGCAGGTGCCTCCTCTGCTCAAGCTGCTATAACAAAGCACTGCAGAGGAGGTGGCTCAAACCACAGAAACCTACTTCTTACTTCTGACAGTTCTGGAGGCTGGAGTCCCAGATCCGCACATCAGGATGTCAGGTTGTACTGAGGAGCCTCTGTCTGCCTTCTCCTTCTTCTTCTTTTTTTTTTTTTTTAGAGAGAGTGACACTTTGTTACCCTTGGTAGAATGCCATGGCATCACAGCAACCTCAAACTCTTGGGCTCAAGTGATTCTCTTGCCTCAGCCTCCCAAGTAGCTAGAACTACAGGTGCCTGGCTACTTTTAGAGACGAGGTCTTGCTCTTGCTCAGGCTGGTCTCGAATACGTGAGCTCAGGTGATCGACCCACCTTGGCCTCTCAGAGTGCTGGGATTACAGGGGTGACCACCTCGCCCGGCCCTCTGTCTGCTTTCCTGCTTTATCTCCCCATGGTGAAGAGGAAGCCACCAAAAGCTCTCTCAGGTCTCCTCCCAGAGGGGCTCTGACTCCGTTATGAAGGCCCCACTCTCACGGCCTCATCTAAGCCCAGTCCTCGTCCCCAAATATCAGCACATTGAGAATTAGGGCTTCCACATAAGAATTTGGGGGGCACAGTCCATAGCGCAGGGAAAAGACAAATGGAAAAGGAGCAGAGAAGGAACGTGACGATGAAACGCGTAGAGACAGTGTGAGGACTTGGAGTCCCACTGTTTGTTTTCATGTATTAAATGAAAATGTGGATAGGGAGACAAAATAAAGCATATGGACACTAAGAAGGAAATTTCCCACACAAGAATATTTCACTATTAAATGATTTCAGTGGACAAACAACACAAGTATTTTCATTCCATTTCTAAACACATCATAACAAACAAAAGTGTTTAAAACTCTTCGACAAAGTGAAGGAGTCTAAGTGTCTCACATCCTATTTATACTGGAAAGTGACCAAGGCCACCCCATTGCATTCTCGGGACTCTGCTAATACCCATCCTATTTCTCTCTCTTTGTCTGAGCTCTCTCCTCTGTAACAGGAAGGGACATGTGTCCCTATGAGCCTGATAGCGCTATCCCAAATCTCAAATACCCCTGGTCTTTGCCAAGCTTTTGCTAGAAGCTCAGACAGTCTTGTCAAGG